CCACCTCGAGCCGCACCGAGCCACCATGAGCCACATCGAGCCACCGGGCGAACCACTAAGCCCCGGCGCACCCGGCGACCGCCGGCGATATTTTCCGGCCGCCGGTGAAATTTTCCGGCGACCGGCGACTTTTCCGGCCAAATTTTCCGGCGAACCTCCCGGGCCCCGTTTTTCGGCCGCCGTCGACATTTTCCGGCCAGAAACGACATTTTCGACCTCTCGGGACCGTTTCGAGCTGTTAGAGCCGTCGGAAACCTTATTTTGCGGCGATTCTACCTCCTTCACCCGTTTTTCTTGGATTTTTCACTCTCTTGGAGCTTTATCGAGGTTCATTGCCCGATTTTTCTTACTCTTGGTGCCGAGATCATCGTTTTACGAGGTATTCCACTTAGACCAACTCGACTCATTTGTATTTGAATTGGGCGTGATTTTATTGAGTTGGAGGTGATATATGCTAAGTGTGGGGGAGGTGTATCGGGGGCTCATGAGTATATATTGATCATTTGGAGCGAATTTCGGGTTATGGTGGTTCTAACTCCCAATACCACCATTCTACCACAAAGCAAGCAGAAGCACATGAAAACAATAGAACCTATACAAGGCTGCATACATGAAATTTAAGGGTATAGAACCTATTTAAGTATTTATAAAAAAAATCATTCTTAAATTTTAAAATGAATGAGAAAAAATTATTTTAAAATTTAAATATTTTTTCACAAAAAAAAAATATTTTATTATATATTTTAAAATGACATTTATTTTTTTGCGACTCACCTGTGTTATATTGTAATAATTCTAACTTATACAATATAACTACTTTTAACATAAATATATTAATTAGTATAATAAATAATTTATTATTAATATTATCAATATAAATATAATTTATTTATTTTATACATACAATATGGATGTCAAACCGAAACTCACCAAGAGATAATTAATTTGATATATTATATGTATAAAACCAATAAAAATACAAAAGTTATTAACATTTAAATATATTTACAATTTAATGATTATAATAAGAAATGATATTAAAATGCATTTAATACATCTATAATAAACGTAAATAATCAATATACTTATGAATAATACATACCTAATTAGTTTTAGATTGGATGTAAATTAAAATCTATCCAAGCCAAATAACGAAGCATGAAATTTCGTCACACTTGATTCCGAAAAATGCAAGCCTGCCACTTAACCTCAACTCGTTCGAGAATTATATATAAGAAGGAAGTGTCTCTATAACAATCAAAGTATCTTCATATTAATTACTAATAACTGCAATATCTTATTCTATAGAAATGCTCCCCTACCCACGGTGGGCACATTTTAATATGCCCACCGCGTAGGTGGCATGCACTCATTGGTGATGTTAATATGTTTTAAAAATTACATCACCAATGAGTGCATACCACCTACGCGGTGAGCATATTAACATGTGCCCACCGTTGGTAGGTGAGCATTTCTCTCTTATTCTAATGGTAACAAAACATTAAGTAATTTTCTACAATATGTACTTAAAAAGCGACTATTAAATAAGTTTTGTTTGTAGAAAATATCATTTGAATATGTATGATAACATTTCGAATATAACTACACAATAACAACATAAAAATCAATTATGAAAACTTTATTATGATATTTATCACAATATTACAATAGAATCTTATTTATCAACTTTAATAACAAATTACTGTAATTTCTTATTTATACGATAAAAAATAAATGTATTCATATTAAAAACGTGTTTAGTATAAAATAATTTAAAATAATAATTAGTATATTTATCCCTATGGATTTAAAAGTTAATGCTAAAAATATAAAAATATATATAAGTAAACAATTATACTTGTAGGATTATGTATATATGATATTAAAATGATAAACCAAAGGGTAATTTCTCGAAATATCAAATAAATTATTATATTATAAAGAATCAAAATATTTATAATATTTATTGTTATAAATTATGATAAATCAATGAGTTGTTTGTCGAAGTAACATCCAAATTATAAGTTTAGGAAGAAAAATCTGAACTTTATAACATTGTTACAAATAAATCACTTGTTGATTATTTTACTATTACTATTACTCAATCGGGTAGGACCTATTTTTTCCCATCCTTCACCATATATCCATACTTTTCATTCCCCGTGAGGACCACAAACTTATCAGTAGGTTCTCAACAAGGTCAAGATTCATGTTTAATTTTGTTATTATGTTAGGACTATATCTTCTATCTTCATCATCACTAATGATACTCACTGTACTTTTTTCCCAGCCTAGTCGTCCCAAAACGAACGAGAAGTCAAAATAATGCTCTCGCTTGAGCAGGACAAAGGTTTACGTTACGAAAGGATCTGTTCGGGGCCACAAACTATAAGAATGCAGGCCATGCACGAATGAATGCGTGTAGGAAATTAAAAACGCTTTTTATGTTGAATTGATAAACACTGTTTAGATGATAACTAAAGAACAATTGGTAAGCATCGCGAGGTTTGTTAACCAGATTTGGTCGGATGCAACAGCAACATCATGGTCGTTTCTATGCCACGTCCACAAAGCGTGAGATGCATTTGCTATCTGAAATTGCCCGTGCCCAAAACTCGGCTCTCTAAACGCCGAAATACTTGGTTGTGGATCAATATAGCTGTCCAAAAAATGTAATAATTTCAAACCATTTTGTCTTAAAAAAACGTAATATAATATTTGGCTTGTTTATTAAATGAGCATGAGCTCGAACATAAGCTGCTCGACTTGGCTCCAACTCAAATAAGATATACATTACTTCGTAGCAAGGCCTTCGCGGTTACCCCCATCCCCAATTGTTATGTACACGGGCCCACATTTATCGGCCTTGTTCTTGTAGACGCGCACCTACATTTTTCAAATCGAGCATAAAAAAATACAAAAATTAAGCACGTCCACACTTTTTACATACACATGACGTTAAAAAAACA